GTCATATCCGGTCAAAAACTATGTCACAGGACTAAAAGTATAAAAATCTTATTAGCACTTTAATCCAAATATTCTGGAAATTTGTAAGGAAAGTGGTTTTGGTGAAGTAAAGTTTGAATATGGATCATCTCCAGTTAAAAACTAGGTCACACTGCCAAAATATGGAAAAACCTTTTTAACACACTAGAGGTCGTCACTTTTGTGGCTCAATTGTCATCAAACTTGGCCATGATGCTTGTTTAAGACATTGCTTGGATGGATTGATGGGTCGGGGCCCTCTAGTTTATTTATTTGGGCCGTCAAACCAAACAAATAATGGTAGTGAAATTACAGACCCTGATATGCTTATTTGCAAAATCCGCAAGTAGTCTGTCATGTACTCCTGGAAGCGTTTACTTCTCTTTATAAGTACACTAACGCCGAAAAAATAAAGGGAGATCACATCATATTGATTGTCAAATGACAGGCGCATTACTTGTCAAACCTCAGGGAAGAAAAAAAAGCTCCTGATTGGTCGAAGATTTCTAATATTGTATAATTCTTTAACATTTCCGCAAATTACCGGTAATATATTAAAATAATTTTGTCATGAGGAATATCATCGTAAATCAATTAAAATTGCTTGGCTATTTCCGTAAAGCTCCGGATCATTGTGATCGCCTAAATGAACACATTTGTTATTTAGACTTTTTGCTAAAGAAGTGAAGAAAATACCTCGAAATCAATAAGGATTACAAACTCTAATTAATAATGTGGTTTGCATCAGGTTTTTTTATGTTTCCTGTGGTTCAAGGGTTACACGCTCGTTTAGGAAGCCAGAGTTGTGGGGTTCAAATCCCAGTTAAGACAGCTCATGTTTTTTTGTTTGTTTTTTTTTTGTTATTATTTTTAATTGTTTAAGCCAAATAAACATTGAATACCAGTGTTGCAATTAACCTTATAGCCAATTTACTACAGTTATAACACTGAAAACAGCATTATAATTACTTTGCTTCCATTTGTTTTAAGCTGTGTATCAAACAAACATCATATTGAAAATCATTTTCGACTGTTTACCTTTCAAAAGAGCTGATCAGTTCACAGTTTATGAAAAAGGTGGTAATGCTACTAGCCAATTCAGTTGTTTTCAGAAAGGAATGAAAAAAACCGTTGTAAGTCGGTATAAAGGCAGAACAACAGGCATTTCATGCTTTTCCCTCAAAAGCCAGGAAGGGCTTTCAAAAATACAATGGGGGGTTCATGAAAAACCAATTAAAGGGTCTTAGGAATTTTACACTTTACAAAAAAAAATCTAAAGTTTAAAAAGGGTTATTGACGAAAAAATTTGGGGCTTTTGATAAAAAGTATTTTAAAAACTAATAGAAGAAAAAGAAAAACAATTTTTTGGGTGAGAATAAAAAAATTTTTTTTGAAAGGGGAAAAACAGGGGAAAACAGAAAAAAAAACTTTCAAATGTTTTTGTGATGTGAGGAAGGGTTGGGTATTTGTAGGGGTTTGATTTTTTGCGTTAAATTTTTTTAAAACAAGGGGGCCCAAGATTCCCCTGGATCGCTCACCTAAACCCATTAAAACTAATCCGAGAAAATTCCCTATACAACATCCAACCAAGTTTTAATAACAGTCGTGTAAAAAATTGGGGACCAAACAAGATTTGTTAAAAAGGGTTTTTTTTCATATTTTGGGGGATCCCTTTGTTTTTGACCCCGGGTTGACCCATTTCATTTTTGACCTAAAATCTTTCCAAAAAAAAAATTAAAAACCCCAATTTTCTTTCCCGGGAAATAAACCCATGTTCAAAACCCATCCCAGAAATTTACCTTGGGAAGACCCTTTCCGGGGCCCAAGTCTGTTTGATTTTTGGGAAGGTAAAAAAGGTGCCCAAACTAGAGTTTTTAAAAGGTCTTCCCAGTTTTATGGAGGGGTGCCCTTTGGGTTTTGACCCAAAGGGCCCCCTTTTATTCAAATTTGGCCTTTCCCGGAAATCATCAATGAAACATTTTTAAAAAACAAATTTTTCCAGGATATTTGGATCAAAAGAGTAGCCACTCAAGTGTTAACTAGATTTTTCTATTTTTAACACCTGTAACCAAGTTTTTCATCCGAGATGACCAATGTTCGAACTCATCCAAGAAATTACATAGACAAGCATCCTTACAAAGTCTAATGATGATTGAGACAAACATGTGACCACTAGTTTGTTAAGGAACAAATATGGACAGACGACAGACGACGGACATTCAACGACTTTAAAAGCTGAGCAAGCTAAGTTGAGCTTAATAAATTGAATTATTGTAGAAACGAATTTTGAAACGATCTTATCATGATCTTTAATTGAGAACTAATTAAAAAAAAATGTTCAAATGCATTACAAATATATTACAACGCCATTGTATAGAATGTTTTCTCAACACTCGCCAATCATTGTCTTTATTTTTGTGCAAACGTATTTGTTGTTGTTGTTTTTTCTTTTTTTGTTGTTGTTTTTTTTTTTCATTGAACCACGCGTTATCAATATTAAGAAAAACAGCAGCGGATTTTCTTTTTCTTTCAGATTTCTCTTATAGTAAAATACTTATTAAATAAAATTGACATACAAAATATTGAATTGAATAACTTTGAAACATATTTGTCACACACAAAATACGGGATGTTTGTTTAGGTGTAAAAATTAAAACCGTCTTAAACTTTTGCTAGTTATATCATGAAAATGTCTCGACGAAACAAAATATTTTAATGACATTTAGGACATTGGTCGTCTCAAATAAATTCGGGAATATCCAACAAATACATTTGCAATATCGTTCTTTCAGAATTTAAGTGTCATATTCTTTTGGGTTTCGATTTTTTTTACATCCCCCACACTTGGAGTTTGGGTTAGCGGGAAAAAATTTCATGGGGCCCAGGGTGCCCGTGAGTCGCGTGCTAAAATTAAAGACGTCTTTTTAGCGCATTTTATTCCCGGAACCCGCGTTCAAAATAAAGTCATTTGGGGGGCGTTTCAGAATCCTATTTTTTTCCCTAACATAACTTTCTTTTTCCCCCGAAATTTAAATTTAAGTTGAAAATTTTTCAAAACATTTTTTGTAAGAAAATTTAATTCACGGCTGAAAAAAAAAATTTAAATTTTTTCTTTTAAACAAATTTTAATTCTTTAAAAGTAAACCTTTTTTGGATATTGATAAAAATTTTGGCAAAAATAAAACAAGAATAAATATTGACAGGTCTTGGGGCGGTTCAGATGGGAAATTTATTCGCCCTTTCCGCGCCCTTAGCAAGCCTCGTTATTCCCTAATGGTTTTAAAACATTTTTGGAGAAATATAAACTAAAAATGGTTCCATTAGGACAGGGATGCCCCCACCTCGCCACTGGTTCTGTCAATCTTATGACCTAGGGTCAAAATATTTTTTTGGACTACATGTGCCTACAAAGTTGGAAAAGCTAAAAATCAACAAGACGGGCCATAATTCTGTAAAACGCGCTTGTTTCAGCAAAAATTCCCTTTTCCTTACTGCCATCTACATATTTAGGTTGTTTCATTGCCCTGGAAGTTTTAAGCAAAATCTGCCATCCGGGGTTAAGAGGAGTTGTGTTTCAACAAACTTTCTACATAGTATATTTACTGAAAAAATCAACAAAGGGCCATATATTCTGTAAAATTTTGGTCGCAGCCAAAAAAATTCCCTTCCTTTACTACCATCTGCACATTAAGGTTGTTATTCCCTTGTAAGTTAAAAGCAAAAAAATCTCCATCCGGGGTTTAAGAGGATTTGGTTCACTAAAAATTTCTACCCATAGTATATAGCTAGTGAAAAAATCAAAAAAGGGCCATAATTTCTATTAAATTTGGCGCAGCGAAAATTCCTGTCCTTTATACTACCCATCTGCACATTAAGGTTTTTGCATTCCCTGTAAGTTTAAGCAAAAAATCTGACAATCCGGGTTCTAAAAGGAGGCGTTCAATCAAGTTTCGGGGGACGTACGGACGGACGGACTGACAGATCTGACGACGGACGGACAAGCTGAAAACGTCTATATGCTCCCACATGTGAGGGCATAAAAATGATTGAAAAAAATTGATATTTCATGAACAGGTTTTTCTACAATAAAATAAATTCCGCAGGTGCGTGAAACTTTCAGGTTTAAATAGAAAAAATTTCAATTTCTGTACCAATTTCAAAACGCCGGTAGTCACGTGCAAAAGTATAATTTTCCAGGGGAAAATCAAAAAAAATTCGCATTTTCAACGCAAAAATACTGACAAGAAAGGATAAGACTTGTGTCAAGCATTAGAATATTAAATAACTAGGGAGTAAGGACATCTTGTTTGCAAAAAAAATTAAATTCAAATCTATTCCGATTGCTTCACATGACTCTTTTTTGTTCAAAGAACCGTTTGAAACGGTTGCGGTATCAGAATTTTGAGGATGCGCCCGCATAGTATGAACCCCCTTGTATTTGGAATACGGAGTCGTTGAAAATTGTGATTAAAATGTGGTTTTAAAAATTGAAAACAACAACTTCATTAACTTTTCATCAAATTCCATTTGTTTTTGACGAGTTTTCACATTTCTTATTCCAAAAGGTGGCAATTGTGTTGCATGTTTCTAGGAAAACCTTCATTGCATTGGGAATATCTGAATAAATTGATATACGTATCTCTTAATGTTTTACTCTTTAAGAATTTTTAACAAACGTTTATCATATGTTATTAATTCCAGCTAACGTAATTGTATTACGATTTGTTTATGTCTTTGCAATTTATGAAATTTAATAATACATGTATATGTGATTTTGCAAATTTAAAGCATAAAGTCCGACTGAATAGTAAACAAATAGTGATTCAAGCAAACATAATTAAAACATATACGAAATATATTTTAAGTAAGAAAAGCATTTAAAGCATTGTTGTATAGGGAATTCCTCTATTTACCGTTTAACAAATGTTTCTATATTTTGCTTTGCTATTTTTAAGACTTCTGTGAGTAACTGTGAAAAATACTTACACTTGGCAATTCCAAGAATAGACGCTATATGATTTCCCCTGAGATCTCCAAGCAGATTCAAAGTTAGTGATTCTATTAGCACACGAAGTAGTTCCGGATGATTCATAGCGACGTTTTTGAACGCAACAAGAAAGTGTGCTACCATTGCAATCGCTCACCCTCTGTAATTAAAATATCTGAACTTGTATAGTCAAATTACACACGGAAATTTTATTTTTTATTCGTGAGTAAAAAGCTGTTTAAAATCTTGGAATCTATGTCTTATCTAGCTGACGTTAAAATGGCAACCTTTGGTTCAAGTTTTATTATTGACAATGAAAATAGATTTTTTTAGCATTAAACATTGTACAAATGTTTATAGCAACAAATGATGAAAACTTTCCAATACACATCCATATATACAAATGGTGAGCATTAGTGCAAAGGTAAAAATAAGTTCCCTTTCTTCCTTAACATTAGTAAATGAAATGCATTTTCAGTAAGCATTTAAGTATTTCTGGTACACAAAAAAGTGATGAATACAGTAACAGATTGTATGAAACTAATGAACTGTTTTTCTCTTTTAGTTGGCTAAGTATGTATTTTGCCAAATTAAATGAAGTGCATATTAAGTAAACATTGAAATATTTTTGGTACAAATAAGAAATAATTTGATACAATAATAAACTGTATATATGTAAGACCATTGAACAATTTGTCTCTTTATGCTGGCCAAGTACATGTATATAATTTTACAAACTCAATGAAACAATTATTCAATTAACATGTATTTTTGGTACTAAAATATGTATTGATTAATTAAGAACAGTGTACTATTATTGAATATAGTTATCAAACGTGAAAATAAACTGATAATTGGTTTCAACGTACAATACGAATTATTATTATCAATATTGCCTCTTAAATATTGTAATGGATATAGTGCCTGCTTTTTTAAGTTTGTCGTTAGACGTCTTTTGTTAAGATATGCTGCTTTCATAAACTCTGATCTCATTTTAAGATTCTATTTTGTTTAGTTTCACCCATTGTTTTCTTGTTTAGAGCACAGACTGTCTTTTACTTTGGGACCACGGAATAGCACGGAAAAAAATAGAGAATAGAAATAATCCCTAAAAGACCTCTAAAATGACAAAACTGAAAATATTGCAGGCTCGCTATGATTGAGTCTAATCACGGACGGTACTAAAAAGTGCAAGTTTCCATCAACATCACCACCCAGCCTCGACTTCAGCAAAATTCAATATTGAATCATAGTAATGGATTAATTTTGAATTTTGAAACATCCGCAGATGTGTTAATACACATAGCCGGTGCTAGGGGGCGTGAAGGATGTTGCACGTATTCATTATCCCTCATGTACAGTCTCAATCAAACAGAGTCTGCTATTCTCTTGTAATTTTGTTGTGATTAATGCTTCCGAGGGATCACTTTGTTTCCAGATTTTCATACGGCGGTTTTCATGAAACATTCAATGTGACACTATATTGCCTTTCGATGAAAAGCGGCATATTGTTCCCAAATGAAGGAATATGTGTGTCCGAAACGAGAAACCAATGGGCGGAACTAAATTAAATGGAAGTTTGAGAGGGGATCGGAGGTTTAGAAGTCTGCATATCACAAATAAGCTGTGAAAGAAAATTAAAAAAGCAGGTAACATATTTTAATGGAGATTAAACTGTATTCAAGTAGGAATATTGGATCCCCCAACTTGAAAAATGTCGAATAGAAAGAACTTAAAATACAAAAAAAAGTCAAAAATAAAGTCGCATTGAAGACTCCGTTTCCTTGTCGGTTTCTATTATTTTCAATTTTAATATTATTCTATTTAAATAATGATCATGTCCGTGCTTCGCTTTGTAACCTGTCCTGTTTTGTTTGGAATCCTGCTGGACTCCTTGTCGGTGGCATTGTGTTGATGAATCGTATTCGGGTTGCGTTCATTGAACGTGGCCCTTCTTTGTTTATCTTATTAACCTTGTTTTCAACGAAAACCGGGTTATTATAATGCCAAATTCGGCGGGCGGGCGTCAACTTATGGTTTCCGCTCACTATCTTGAGTTTGCTTTGGCCTATTGATACCAATAAAATAGATAAAAACAGAATCCCTTAAGAAAGCCCAAGACGACAAAATTGAAAATGTTGCAGGCTCGGTTTGATTGAGCCTGTTCATGGACGGTACTGGAAAGTGCAAGTTACCGTCCACGCCCCCTAGCACCGGCTTAAGCAGAATTCAACATTTAAACATGAAATAGTAAAATTTTGAATTTAGAAACATCCGCAGATGTGTTCATACGGCGGTTATCATGGAACCTTCAATGTGACACTTCCGTGCCATTCCATGAAAAGCGGCGTATAGTCCCCAAGTAATAGAAAGAGTGTGCCCTAAACGAGAAAACAATGGGCGGAACTAAATAAAATGGAATTTTGCAAGGGGATCAGAGGTTATGAAGCCTGCATATCACAGATAAGACGTCAAAAGACAAATTTAAAAAACAGGCAACATATCCTAAGGGTGATTCAACATTATTCAAGTAGGAATATTGGAACCACCCGGCTAGAAAATGCCGAAAAGTTAAAACTAAAAATACCACAAGCACAACAATAATGTCGTGCTGAACGATCTTCAAGGATCGAAAATATAACATCATTGATTAAATGTACGGGGAGACTTTTTACAGCCGCCACACGGCACAAATAACACGGATGTGATCATAAAATAGATAAAAACAGAATCCCTAAAGAAAGCCCAACACGACAAAATTGAAAATGTTGCAGGCTCGGTTTGATTGAGCCTGTTCATGGTCTAAGTCTAAAGGTAGCTAATATCAAGAGGCAGAGTGGACACAAGGGTGAAAGGAGTGGGACATGTAATGTGAGTTAATATCAACTAAAACGGGCCCTTAAAGGAATGACAATTCAGTTTCCGCTCAATTACATGAGTTTGCTGAGGCCTATTGACACCAAAATTGCTGTATGGGTAGCTTATGTAAAAAGGTAGCTTGAGATTGCTTCACATGTGTCTGTGATCAAGGTTAATGTTACTGTTGCTTAAAAATAGAAAAAATCTGGAAACAAGGTTATCCCTTGGAAGCATTTATCACAACAAAATTACATAAGAATTGCAGACTCGGTTTTCAGTTCAGAAATTCAGTTCCTGCTCAATAACTTGAATTGCTTAGGCCTATTGACACCAAACCTTTTGACCTTTTGATACTTAACTTGGCATGTGTGTAGCTTACATCAAAATACGGCCTGGCATTGATACTCGGGTATCTGTTTTTTTTTTTTTTTTTTTATTTTGAACTAATAAGAATCCATAAGGAAAGCCCAACACGGTTAAATTGAAAATGTCAAAGGCTCGGTTTGACTGAGTCTCTTCATGGACGGTCCTGTCAACCGTCCAACTTTCTGTGTTGGTACAAATAACGGCATCAATTTTTCTTAACTTCCATATTTCATTATCATGTCACATCAATTCTTAGTGTATGAAAACATTTTCGCATTGTGGTGCTTGTTGTTTTTCACCTTAAAATGTTGGATTCTACTTAAAATTCTGGAAACAAAGTGATCCTTTGGAAGCATTAATCACAACAAAATTACAAGAGAATTGCAGACTCGGTTTGATTGAGTCTGTACATGAGGGATAATGGAAATGTGCAACATCCCTCACGCCCCCTAGCACCAGCTTGAGCGGTACTCAATTCTCAACACTTAATAGTGCTGGCATCAATGATCCCGAAGGACCAGAGAATATAACAACACTGAAGTGAAGTACGGGGCAATATTTTACAGCTGCCACACAGCACTTGACACCTGCTGTTGTGAAGTATAAAAATTCTGGAAACAAAGTGATCCCTCGGAAGCATTAATCACAACAAAATTACAAGAGAATTGCAGACTCGGTTTGATTGAGTCTGTACATGAGGGATAATGCCGGTTATAGGAGGCATGGACGGTAATTTGCACTTTTCATTACCGTCCATGAACAGGCTCAAACAAATCGTCTCTGCATTATTCTGTCGTTTTCGGTACCCTTTAGGGATTCTGTTTATCTCTATTTCAATAAGTGTGCCAGCAGACAAAAGAACTATCTTATTATTTACACAGATTTTTTTAATAAATCATGTTTAAATTTTTGCGCTTTAGTATTATTCAAATTTATTTCGTGTCAAATTATTTAACAAACTTACTGGATTATTCCAATCTCCCCAGTCGTAACATTTCGATCCTATTTGTATGTAAGTGTGTCTGATGCCATACGGAATGTCCCTTTTTCCGCTGCTTGGGCAGTCCTTGCTGTTGCTTGAGGAAAGAAAGGATGCCGATGAGCTCAGTGGACAGGAGTAAACGTAAAAGTGTGTAGCCTCAGCAACACCTGAAATTATTGTCATTGAAATTGATTATGGACTTAAACAACAGAAGTCCTTTACAATTCTTGACCAAATATTCCTTAACATTGAAACCTTTTCAATTACAGTTTAGATTCAGGCTAGGAAACACCAACAATTTGTTGTGTCTGATAATTCTGTAAAAGGCAAGGCAACTAACTTGTCTTATATTGAAGGTTACACACAAGAACCAAAAAAAAATCTTATAGCTGTTATGGTTCCTGCTCAGACTTAGCATTATGGTTCCTGCTCAGACTTAGTATCATGTTATAGTTATAAGAAAATGACTAACGAACAGAAACATGGTGTAAAGAACAGGTTGTGTTTCAATACTCCTTAACGCAATTATATGTCTGGCGCATGAAGAAACAGAAATATGTTCTATACCTGTTCTACACCATACACTGTTACTTAGCTAGGTTTCGGAAATTACTGATAAATATGTAAAGTAACTTTCATTTTATCGTACGGTCACATATGGCTCTTTTTTCTAGATTAAACCTGTAATTGTTTAGGGTAGGGAATGTCCAACGTATGCCGTGATGGACGATGACGAAGACAAAACCCAGTGTAACGGAAGCCTTATCCAAAAGAAGAATATATCACTAGACCAGTCATTTTCCAGATACCGACCGTAAATTAAAATATGATACAAACAAGATCAACAAGGAAAGGTGGCGCTCAATAAACGCAACCCCTGGAATGCAGTACACAGGAAGGAAAAATTCTAAAAAAAAAACAAAGTGATCCCTCGGAAGCATTAATGACAACAAAATAACATAAGAATTGCAGACTCGGTTTGATTGAGTCTGTACATGAGGGATAATGAATAAGTGCAACATCCCTCACGCCCCCAGCACAGACTTGAGCGGTACTCGATTCTCAACACCTTATAGTGTTGGCATCAATGATCTCGAAGGACCAGAAAATAAAACAACACTGAAGTGACGTACGGGGCAATTTTTTACGGCTGCCACACGGCACTTGACACCGCTGTTGACACCTGAAGTTGACCTAACTGTGAGTCCTCGTTCCAATGAAAGTGAAGCTTCACAGGAACTGTGCAGATAACTTCACAGAGTCTGTGCAGTAAAGCAATTACTTATTTCTACGTGATCTGCAGCTACTGCCGATGATATTAGAAATATGACATATTTATTTGACTTGGAAATTTTAAACGAGACACAAATGAAGTCGTGTAATTCATTGGGCACAGGTACATCGCATATATTCCACTTGTGATACACACGGGATATAGTAATGCGCCATATGCAGTACAAAAGCAACTTAATTGGGCTCTTCCTGTACCAATACCATGCAATAATTCAGACCATAATAAAACAGACAACAGAAGAGAGCCAATTAACATTTATTCGGTCAGTCAAGTGACTGGTCCTTTGAAATCGTCGAGTCCAGCACCTTTAAGTGTTGAGAATTGAGTATCACACCAGCAGGTGTCTGTTGATTACCGTAAAAAGTTGTCCCATACTTCTCTTCTGTTTTGTTATATTTTTGTGGTCCTTACGGCTTGTGGTCTTTGAGTCCAGCATTTTAAAGTATCGTGAATTAAGTACTACTCAAGCGGGTGCTAGGGGGCGTGAGAGATGCTGTACCTTAGCATTATCCCTCATGTGCAGACGTTATCAAACCGAATAAGCAATTTTCATATAATGTTGCTGATTGATTTGAATGCTTCCGGGGATCGCTTTTAGAAAATGTTGACCGTATTTTGACGTCAGACTTAAATGACGTATCCTATAATAAGAAAAATTCCATGTCAGTTGAAAAAAGAGAGCAAACGCAATCAAAGTGCTGACCCTTTCTCATATAAATGGGGACTATGAGATGGAACTACAATAAAGACAGATTGGCCTTAAATTAACGAATATTTAGCCTAATTTTGCCGTGTTTAGCTTTCTTTAGGGATTCTAATTTTTTATCTATTCTTCTGAAAGTGCTTGTTATCCCCCGCCGAAAATTTTCGGCGGAGGATATAGAAATAGTCTCTGTCCGTCCGTCCGACCTTCCGTCCGTCCGTCCTTCCGTCCGAATTTTTGTCCGGAGCATATCTCTAAAAGTATTTGAGTTATCAACTTGAAACTTCATAGGTGGATAGACCTCATTGAGGAGGAGTGCAGTGCACAAGAATGATAACTCTACCTTGCATGATTTTTGAGTTATTGCCCTTTGTTATTTTTCAAAATTGATTTTTGTCCAGAGCATAACTCCAAAAGCCTATGAGATATTAACATGAAACTTCATAGGTGCATAGATCTCACTCAGGAGGTGTGCATTGCACATGAATGATAACTCTACCTTTCATAATTTTTGAGTTTTTGCCCTTTGTTATTTTTCATACCTTATTTTTCACCTGAGTGGAGCATAACTCAAAAAGTGTTTAAGATATCAACATGAAATGTCATAGGTGGATAGATCTTATTGAGGAGGAATGTTGTGCGCAAGAATGATAACTCTTCCCTATACAATTTTTGAGTTATTGCCCTTTGTTTTTTTTCATGCTATTTTGTCCAGAGCTTATCTCAAAAAGTATTTGAGGTATCAACTTGAAACTTTAAAGGTGGATGGATCTCATTGAGGAGGAGTGCAGTGCTTAAGAATGATAACTCTATCCTGCATTATTTTTGAGTTATTGCCCTTTGTTATTTTTCAAAATTAATTTTTGTCCAGAGCATAACTCAAAAAGCCTTTGAGATATCAAAATGAAACTTCATAGGTGCATAGATCTCACTCAGGAGGTGTGCACTGCATAAGAATGATAACTCTTACCTTTTTATAATTTTTGAGTTATTGCCCTTTGTTATTTTTCATACTTAATTTTTCAATTCAATTTTTTCTCTAAAAGTATTAGAGGTATCAACTTGAAACTTCATAGGTGAATAGATTTTACTGAGGAGGGATGCAGCACACAAGAATGATAACCTACCCTGCATTATTTTTCAGTTATTGCACTTTGTTATTTTCAGCCATCAGTATTCACATAGGTTTCAAATCTGTAATCACTATAGCCATCAGTTTTCATTACCAAAAGACCTCTAAAAATAGAATTATTCTGTTCTTCTACATATACATTCTTCCAATGAGCAAACACATTCGGCGGGGGATGGCCATGTTGACATGGCTCTTGTTATAATTTATTGTACAGCAAAGCTCAAAAGTATTTTACTAAAACGTTTTACAAGGCCCTGATATGATGAACAGCCTTGTAGGCGTATTAACCCGATTCCGACAAGAAAATGTAGCTCTTTCCGCTAACATAAAGGCGTTGTTTCATCAGGTACTTGAATGTGAGGATAGTGATGCACTACGCTTCCTTTTGTGTATATGCGGGGATTTATCTAAAACAGTTATTGTATGCTGCCTGGTTTATTTATTTGGTACAACGTCTTCCCAGAGCTGCGCTGCGTATGCTGTGAAGAAAAAAGGCCAATGACAATGCAGAGAGATTTGCAAATGCATTTTACGTAGACGACTGTCTAATGTCTGTTGAACTTATAAAATAATGCTATAAAACTTGCTGCAGATTTAAAGTATACAGGCCAGCAAATCTACCATATTTAGAAAAGAATAGCATTAACCGTTGTCTCCGTCCACTTCAGTAAATTGAAGAACGTACATCTGCTGTTCCGTGATGGCTCAGAGACAGGTTATTGCGATTGACCATTTTTTAGAATAGAACCTTTGCCTTGCGCCTAGTCCTTTTTTATCGCCCGCCGAAGGTCGGCGGGTGATGAAGAAATGGTTTCCGTCCATCTGTCCTTCCATCCGTCCGTCTGTCCTTCAGTCCAACATTTTTGTCCGGAGCATATCTCAAAAAGTATTCGATGTATCAAATTGAAAATTCATAGGTATATAGATCATCTTGAGGAGTATAGTGCACAAGAATGATAACTCTACCTCGTATAATTTTTCAGTTATTGCTCTTTGTTATTTTTTAAACTTAATTTTGTCAAGAGCATAACTCAAAAAGCCTTTGAGATATTAACATTAAACTTCATAGTAGGAAATATCTTACTCAGGAGGTGTGCAGTGCACAAGAATGATTTCATAATTTCTGAGTTAGCGCCCTTTGATATTTTTCATACATAATTTTTCACCTGAGTGGAGCATAACTCAAAAAGTGTTAGAGATATCAGCTTGAAACTTCATGAGCGGGTAGATCTCATCAGGGAGGAGTGCAGTGCACAAGAATGATAACATTACCCTGTATCATTTTTAAGTTATTACCTTTTGTAATTTTTCAAACTATATTTTGTCCAGAGCATAACTCAAAAAGCCTTTGAGATATCAACATTAAACTTCATGGGTGGATAGATCTCACTCAGGTGGTGTGCAATGCTTAAAAAAGGTTAGCTCTATTAGTATTTATTTTTGAGTTTTTGCCCTTCGTTATTTTTCATATTTTTTTATCCTCAGCGGAGCATAACTCAAAAAGTCTTTGAGATATCGACATGGCATTTCATAGGTAGATAGATCTCATTGGGGAGGTATGCAGCACACAAGAATGATAACCTACCCTGCATTATTTTTCAGTTATTGCCCTTTGTTGTTTTCCAAACTTAATTATGTCCAGAGCATAACTCAAAAAGCCTTTGAGATATTAACACGAAACTTCATAGATGGATAGATCTTATTGAAGAAGAATGCTGTGTGCAAGAATAATAGCTCTACCTTTTAGAAGTTTTGAGTTATTGCCCTTTGTTATTTTTCATACTTTTTGTCCGGAGCTTATCTCAAAAAGTGTTCGAGGTATCAACTTGCACGCAAGAATGATAACCTACCCTGTATTACTTTGCAGTTGTTTCATAGTTTGGGTACCTTTCTGTTGAAAATGTGACAGAGTTAATCGTATACGTATACATATACATGCACAGTTACTGGAGCAGATGCTTTACCGCTGGCTCTTGTTGCTGGGTCGGGTGGGGGTTGCATTCGTTGAACGCCGCCTATCCTTGTTGATCTTGTTTATCATATTTTAGTTACCCGCACTACAGAGCATGCCCATTGATTGGTTCATTTTGTCCGGGGTTTATAAATTGTGACGACAGTGAAAGGGATAGGGATGGAAATGTCAAGTTCAGATGCTCGTTCATTGGTTACTTATTGTGGGGTTTCATATTGTGGTATCTGGAAACGTGTTTTAATGTTTGACTATGATACAAAAGAGAAGGAACATCAAAACACACGGCAACCTGATTTATACTCGGGGGTGGGGGCTACGTGTTTCGCCTCGTGTCCCGATGCTCTTTCTATTAATTAATTCCCATTGTTATTTTTAGCCATCAGTATTCACATTGGTTTCAAATCTGTAATCACTTCAGCCACCAGTTTCCATTACCAAAAGACCTCTTTAAATTGAATTATTCTGCTCTACTTCATATACATTCTTTCAATCAGCGGACACATTCGGTGGGGCATGGCCATGCTTACATGGCTCTTGTTGTAAGGGGTCCTCCAGGGCTTCTTATCGCTGGTTCTTGTTGCTATGTCGTTTTGGGGTTGCAATCGTTGAACGCCGCCTTTCCTTGTTGATCGTGTTTATCGTATTTCATGCAGTTTCGTTTTTGGTTAGTTTAGATAAGCACCAATAAAGGAAAATCCATTCTAAGATAAGAAGTGTGTGATGCTGTTATGGCATGCCGCCTGTATGCCTTGTTGTCGTTAGTACTTGGTTCGGTGCCTTCTGGCTGCCATGCTGGTGTGACCGGATTCTGCTGGGGCCGCGTTCTGTAACGTTGTCTCGTCTTGATGAACTTTATTCTATTTCTTTACTCTTCTGACGAAATTCAAGGTTTCACCATTTTATTGTTGAAATGTTGATTTCTGCCTAAGAACTGGTACTGAGAGGGGGGCGTGGAAGTTGGTTTGCACTTGACATTACCGTCCATGAACAGGCTCAATCAAAGAGAGCTTGCAACATTTTCAATTTTACCATTGTGAATTTTCTTTAAGGATTCTCATTTCCTCTATTTCAAAGGTTGACCAAGTTATATTCTGGACGGATTGTATGATTTACTTGGTCATATTTGCAACAATTATCGATGTTTTCAGACATTCGTATGAAATACAATAAGCACATATTAGACTATATCCTTGAAAAACGGCGGTTTGTCGACTCCGGTTCGAGCCAAGCTGATATTGCTTCAGGGGCAGTCATCCAAGTGGCGTTAATGGTCAAATTGCAGACGATGATTTCAAAGTCAGGAAAAGATGCCTGCTAACACCAAAGCATCGTACACAGGACATGATACAGATTACTCCATCAACTATTTTTTCCGACTTGACAGTGTTTGCTTGGTTACTGAGGAATAATTTGCAGACGACATCACCTGACCAAAATGAGTCAATCTTACCGTTTCCAATTTAAAGAACACAACTTACATATACAGAATTCAAGCTTTAAACAGGAACTGAACGATATTAACAAAAGGAGTTAAAAGAGACAGCAGATTAATACATTGAACCCTATTATATTTGATACACAAATCTGTGTGTATGAAAGAATCAGTCATAAAAAATGATACGTGCCCGATTATCTTTCCGGTCGAAAGTTATATGACAGAATTGATTAATCGCCATTACCTTAATACAAGCAAACGAACGTATGGATAAACAACTTGTGCTGGCTGAAACACGGACATAATACTGGGTATTAAAACTAACCTAGTGATTATAAGAAAGAAATCAGAGATTATTTTATATATAAGCAACAACACTGTCACTAAGGCAACGAATGGCGCTCTTGATCAATGAACAGACTACTCCAGATTAACCCCCCATTCTCCTATGACTGATAGTGAAATCAGTTAGAAAACGCTTAAAAAGAAACGGATGTCATTTTGTCTGTTAAACTACAAGAGCAGTCCACATAGAAATAGCACAGTGTAACGAGCTGCTTTTAAACGCTTAACGAGTCATTGAGGTTACCCAGAAAAAAATATTTCGCGATAAGGGAACAATTCTTGTTAGCGGAGGCAAAATGTTAGAAAGCACAATTAAACAAAGGAACCAGTCTAAAATCGGACAACTTCTTGTGAAGCATCCTGTAGACTGGCACTTTAATCCACTCTATGCCAGTCACATCGGCGGGTCATGGGAATGCATGATAAGGTTAACTAACGCGTAATATTTATAAGAAGTGATACGATAGACCCATTAGCACTCACACTTAACATAAATTCTAGTTTTTGTATCCAAGTCTGTATTTCTGAAAGTGAAGACAACTATATCAAGAGATTGGTGTGACAAGACCAATATTTAGCAACCCTGCAAGAAAAGAAAAAGTGGCAAATAGAGTCTAGAGACCTTCATGTAAATGACATTGTCTTGTGATAGAAAATAATGTTCCGAGAGGACTGTGGTAACTGGGCTGAGTACCTTAAGTCAGTAGGAACATGGATGGTCATATTCGTAAATGTAAAGTTCTTTCCTTGTTTATCATGTTTTCAGAGAAGGTTTTCAGCTACGATAAGGTCAATCACAAAGTTGTGACTTTTAGAATGTCCAGACTTAATGTTTGTAATAACCAAAATATAAATCACATGATTAAGCTACTTTTAAAAGAGAATAAATAGTGTGCATCAAATCAATTGTTTTTAAACATTTAGCAAGTAATTTAATACAATGTCTGATTTAATATGACTATATTTTAATTAAGAACATAAGTTTGTTACAAATTATAATTTAATTAAAGATATTATTTACTGATATTTGGAAGAACGATGTAATAGTAGAAGTTCGTAGAGGGCTCGGTACGAATCGTTTATAAGCCCATTCTAATTTTAAAATTTTAACATGGTTAAAACTCGTTGAAACTTATTTCACGTAATGTTTTGAAGAAATTAGCTCGTCATTTTTGACGTTACTATTGGTAATATTTTTTGCATTTACATTTAGACTTTATATGTAAGGGTGTGGAAGCTTTAAACTGTAATTTAAAGGATTCGAAGAAATTACTGTCGGTATGAAAGTTGCTTAAAATGTTTTGATACTGGATTACGGATAAGAAGAATTTTCTATTGAATCTTTTATTTATTTATTTATTTAATTAATTGTAACGTTCATTATTTTAATCAAATGTTACTGCACTTATATTATTTATGTGTTATTATATCAGAAAGGAATGTAGAAGTTAATTACTTTTTCATTTGTTTCAGAGAAATGCTGACGTATGTGCTGGTCCCGTGTTCACAAAGATTTTAGGATCAGGATCAAGATCAGGATCAAATCTAAAATCTCAAATATTATCCATTGTTAATTCTTATAGATTAGATACTTAATATTAACTTGATAAAACTGGACTTGAAATAGCATGTTTTTGAAATTAAAGAATAAATTTATTGTAATTTTTGAAAGATATGGGTATTTTACAGTTAATCCAAATATTGATCTTGATCCTAAAATTGATCCTCATTTTGATCCCATTATTTTTGTATTTGTTTCGTTATTTGTCTATTTTATCCCAAAACAGGGTTGTTTCTTTGCAAATCAGCAAAATATTACTTTAACTTTATGTACCATTCAATTCTAGCAAAATAAGATCAATATTAGTTATATAAAACAAAGAAAATAAAATCAGGATCACTTGATCCTGATCCTGATCTTTTCTTTGTGAACACGGGGCCTGGTGCTTAAAAATGAAAGATAGAAGCGAATAGTCTTTATCCGAAATCTTTTTACTGTTATGACAAAAACATTTTGTTTTAATCATTCTTTCTTATTTTCTATCTCTTGTGAGAACTTGTATCTTATTGCAAAGCCATGCCGTTTGGTAGACACTGGTTCCTTAATTTTTTTTTTCTAAGGCAGAAAATTTAATCAAAATGAAAAATACAAAGAACATAGAACTCAATTCTGGCAATCTGCATGAAAAATTTGCTTTCTTTAATTAACAATTGCTTATTCAAATTCAAAGCAGAACAAAGATATTTCATTATTATATGTACATTTTTTAAAACGTCCAATCCCATACCACAGGATATGTGTGTACAAAATATTATCTAAAATATCCCATTTCGTTTCATTTCGAAAGCGTGTCGATAATGAATTATTTATTAATTTATATATTTATTCATTTATTTATTTAATTAATTAATTATTTAGTTGTTATGTATATTCTATATCTACTTGCCACTAAGAACAGCAAATCCTATGATGAACAAGAACTTCTTCATCCTGGTGTTGAACTCAAAGTAAGATATTATTTGGTAAGCGCGGGTTACAAATATATAGACATTGCCTTATCTTGAACTTCTACATACTAACCTGTACTGTTTTACCTATTCATGATAGCTTTATCTCCTGTTATTTATAAAGTAACCCCTTGTTAGTTCCCAGGTGCAAAACAGTATGTATATGCTAAAGTTTATTAGTACGTGTTTACAAAATTAAATTGGTCAGGTCAGTACTAATTAATTTTAACCAGCTTCGAGTTTTAAATTATTTTATAAACAGTCGATTTACTAGACTGATTCACTGTTTGTCGATTTCCCAAAGTATATGTGTTAAGATTTATTTGAAATACCGCAATCCAATTGGACAAAAAATAATTCCCAACAGTAATATACATTAATGATTAGTCACATTTTTTTACAACCAAGAACATTGAAATTGAACAAAAGCTTCTGAAAAGGTGTGCACAAGAATTGACAATCACTTTTTATCATCATATATGATTTTTTAAACTTACGTTATTAGAAATAGAGTACACTTAAAATGATCATACTATATGAAACAGTTTGAATCAAAATAATGTGTTTAATACTAAAACATAATAAATATACAATTTTTAATAGATTTCTCGGATTTTTATATATATTCATTACCAACAAAATTACAACAATTGTTAAATGTTGGAGAGAGGAGCATCTTTCATTTCATAATAAACACTTGATAGTACCGAAAAACAACTTTCAAAAATCATGTCAAACATGTCCTTGAAGACAAACTGGGTCTATATCGTGGGAAGTTTTAAAGATGAAAATAATTTATTTTTTCCTTGATAAGTACCAACACCTTATGTGCAATTCACACCGTCCTTAGATTGTTACTACGTTATATCCTACACAAAAATGTACTTATTGGCGACAGGAATTGAAAAACTGTCGCTTTCGGAATGAACTTTCCAATGACATTCAGTAATCAGTAACAATTGACAATTGCAAGCATAACCTAAAATAGCCTTTTCAGCATTCATGTGCATGTGATAAGGAGAAATAAAATCAGTGCAAAGTATCAATATATACACTATTCTAAACATGTCTTTTAATAGAGATTTTATTCTTCACATGATGAACATCACCCTAGGGAACGAGTAACATTATCGCGCTTTTCGGTAAGGGTACAGACTTTTCAAGATAAGGATTATTTGCGGGAGGACAGGCTGGTGACCTATGTCGTTCCATACTACAAGTAGTTTAGTTTCTTAAAGATGTTTTTGTGTTCCTCTTGTAAGGAACTGGATTCGCCATCTAGTCATATGTTTTCTCAGACCCTGCACCGCAGTATCATCTCTAAATTGGCTCGTAAATGTGCAGATTTGACATTTTGAAAATTCGAATCGAGAGACTAACACATTTTTATCCCATTCCGGCATCATTTAAGCATGCCTACAAAAATTAAACCTTCAGTGCTTTATGTTTAGAAACGTTAATAAATGACCAGTTAAACATAATTTCCTCTTCGTTGAACGTGTTTGTAAAAATAAACAATATTACATTACTGAGCTAGGTGAATTTCGCAGGGTTACAATATAGACCAAACCACTTTAATCCGATTTTGTAACATTTTATATACAGATTTCTGATAAAATTAAGAAACTTGCCAAATTTCAAAAAAAATGTTCATGCATCCTTTTTTATTATCATTAAATAATCCATATTTTTTAAATTCTGTTTATATTGCTCTTTGTGTATACAATGTATATCAATGTATATCAAAACCAAATGCAAGCAACAATTTTACTTTGCGATTGATGGAAATTTGATTGTTATACATATAGGATAGGATTAAAACAAACACCTATGGATAAGGTGAAAAAAAGATTAAAACAGAAAAAAACTGCACACTTTATACTTAATAATTTTCTTGTTTTATATGCTGTCATGGACATTTCTGTACCAAATTTTGTCCGATTCTACTTAAACAGCAACAAATTCATCGCCGAATCAAACATTATACATTTCGTATGTACAATATCTTTATATATTTTCCAATGTTCATAAAGTATTTAAATAATGCACATACGATTTTAAGATATGCACATAATTGAAGTGATGTGCAGTGTCCGCATAAAACGCTGAGAATAATGACCGTTTACAATTTGTCTAGCAATATTTAATATTGCCTATTTTATACACTAAGAATGTCCAAATAAGTGTTTGTAGTAAAATGAACATATGCCTTTTTTCATCATTTTTTAACATTTATACAATTATCTACAAATTCATTGATGTTGCCCTATATTTACATCCAATGAAATGATTTGGATCCGCTTAAATGACAGCAAGCAAGCAACTATATATTTGTATACTATTTTATTTTATTTAATATGGCTATGAATGTTATACCATTTAATGCTTAAAAAATATTGTGTTATGTAATGTAATGTTATGCAGGAATAAAGTGTTTATCTTTTTACGGTAGATCTATAGGAAATGAAAATAAAATCTTTTATTTCGCGCATGCGCTCTTATCAGGCGACATATAAAATTTCAAGCTGCTATTTCACACGTGCTTAATAATTGATCTTTGAGAGTTGCATATCTTCTCCTCGTGCTTTAAAATGTAAATGTCAGCGTTCTTAACATTTTTTGCTACTCAATTTATAAAACAAAATATCCGAATATAACCAAAATAACAGATACATGTCAAACTATGAGTTCTTATATATTTTGCATAGTTTCTATTTGAAAAGATGTTAGGATATATGAAAATGAAGACATTAGATGCAAACCATATCTGTTGGCATTAACAGTTTGCATTTCACTATGCCTTTTTAAAAATTAAATTAACAAATGTAATTCATTTTCAATTTCAAAATCAATTATGCTTAGAATTATACTAATAAGAGACAGAAAGGACATAGCATGGTGTAAATAATAAGGAAATACTTGGCAACAAATATGCATGCAAACGTCTAAACATCACTCGCTTTCAGCTGGGCAAGAGATTAAAAGGCGGCGAATGACAGGAACGGTAGAAAACGTCGAATTGTGGAGACGCTAGAATGTTAAATGCAGTTTCAGCTGCAGTTTAATAATCGCTCCAAGAGGATCGACAATGTAATCAGTTCGCGAGCTGTCCGGCACTGGGTCTCCAAATTCAATTTTGACCAAACATTTCATATTATTTATTCTATTGTTCTGAATATGTGCTTATTTCTAATAAATTAATGGAATAATGGTAAACAGTATTTATTAGTATCTTTACCCCCGATCTTGTTTAATATACATGTATATTACATAATATATCCTGCTAGCCTGTGATCCGTTGAAGAGGATAATTTTCAGCTGATAAGAGTTTTTACTTTTCTGTACATATTGGTTTATTGACGTTTGCATAGTATACTATAAATGTTAACATTGTTATAAAGGATATTTGTTTGTTTTTAAGTAAGTTGAATTTTCTTGTTATCGTTAGAGCTTCAAAAATAGAATTTTCTCGAGTGGTGTAGTAAAAAAGGGAGTCCCTCCATTTAAAACTGTGAAATAATATTTTGATAATTTTCATTGTGCAATTATCAAGATAATATAGTTTTCATGGATAAATAAGCATTAAGGATGAAAAGCATAAGTAAAGTTCTATCAAACTTTGTTGTTTGTGCACTTTTTTTTCTAAAAAGCTACTTAAAAATAGAAGAAGTAACCGTTTCAAGTAAAATGTTCAAAGGTAAATAAAGTGTCTCAAAAGAAGTGTAGAGAAAGTTAGATAAGAAATGTAAGAGATAAAATAAAAGTAAAAACAATTTCTTTTCCCGTTAAGGCTCACATTTCTTTTTTTATTATTTTGAATTGGTTGAATTAAAATGCGAACGCAGATTTCAAAACTGAATGAACTTAATTTGTAAGAATTTTCTATTCAATATTTTCAATTCGCATTCGTTGCTTTATATTAGTAGTATCAATAGGAAAAGTATCACATTCTCATTTACATTAGCGTATTTTTGGACAGTGTATAGTTTATTGAATTAACATTCTGGGGGGGGGCTAACAATGAAATATTTTCTTTCAAATAACACGTGCTGGTTGATAAGAGTTCAGCTTCAATTAACAGAAAGTAGTATGTACATTTCATTAAAAAGTCCTCTGAGTTTACCGGGACAGAATATCGTTTGGCTTTTTACAGATATAAGCTTATACTTAAATGGAAAAACCTGTACAATAACTTTTATAGTTGAAAGGTTAAGCGTTCTCCGCTTTTTGTTTAATTGTTCTCAAAAACTATCCATGCAAGATTTACATTTTATTCGTAAAAATGTTCCATTTACTCATGGCCAGAGCTCAGCAAAGAAGCGACCGCTTTCGTCGATGTTTTCAAGTGAATGAGAAAGAATATCCGGTTGTACAACGGTTTACGTGTGGTGTCGACATGATGTCGACATAGTTGAATGAATCTGACTAATTATCGTCGAAGTTTCTTTTTCTTTTGTTCAGACATATCGCTTGAAAATGTTAACCTGAGATGATTCTTTTTTAAAGAATTCTAAGAAATTTGCATGCAGTTCAATGTTCAGTCAATTTTACACCGCTAGTGGACAGATATTCACAATCAAATAAAAAAATCTTGACAGCATTTACCTGATCTGAACGGGAATATGCTGTCATGTTACAAAAGCAGCCAGTTATCAGCATGTACTTCTACCGCATATTTCATAGTTTGCTGAACGACAGAAGTTAACAGTTGGAGTTTAATGATGTAGCTAAATTTTTGGAAGTCATGGAGCGTAATTGAAACCCGAAAGATTTTATTACATTGAGTTTGATTTGGTGAGGATTGTTGAATGTAGATTCAATATTGTGACTTCGTTTATTAAGTAATCCGTTCAGATATAATTTCATGACAAGCGAAGAAGTTAAATTTAGTATTAACGATCAGAGCTCAGCAAAATGCAATTGTCTACTACGATTTTTTATCTACTTATTTAATGATTGAATATTTTAATCTTTCGTATATAGAGGATATTCAAGTTTTTTTTCTATTAATACAGGATTTATATTCATCGAGTTGTATGAAAATAAATATTTCATGAGTGACGGCAGACACTAGAGAAATGTGATAATTTTCATACCACAAGAAAATTGTGTAACTGTAACATTTACATGTTAATACACATAACTAGCTCCGATGAATGGTTAGATAAATACGTACGTTGGAAAATGTTCAATTATATTTAAATAACACAAATACAAAATGCTTGTCAATAAAATCTATTTCTATAACAAACAAACAATGTTCTTTTATTTTATATTTTCATATATGTAGAGTACGTTCTCCTCTTGTACGTTTGCCATAATAAATTGAAACGTGTAAAATGTGACAATGTTCATTAACTTTTCCATTTCCAAGATGTGTTTCTTATCCAAAAGGCGCATTGACGTTGCACGTATTAAGGAATTTTATCATCTTGTCGGAATATCTGAAATTCATAAATATCGTAAAACTTGTTAAACTTTTGAGATTTTTAACTCGCGTTTATTATCAAAATTCAATAACAATAAACTTGTTTCAAGTTTTCTTCGCTGTATTGCCCTTTGCTTATGTGTTTTATATATTGTTTGCCATAAAACGTGTTATAAATCAACTTTTAAGAATATATGAAACATATTAAATACATATTTAGAAAGAAAATTATTTAAAACCATTTAAGATTATTCATAGAATACATGCCATTAACCTTCATTGATTGGTTCTGTATTTTGGAATGTCAACTACAAGCTTTTTTGAGTAACTGATGAAATCACTTACACCTGGCAATTCCAAGACCAGAAATGATACTTTCTTCCCTGATCTCTCCACGCAGAGTTAAACTCATCAATTCTATAAGCACATGAAGTAGTTCCCGATTTTACATAACGACGTTTTTGAACGCAACAAGAAAGTGCACTACCATAGCAACTGGTTACCCTCTGTAGTAAATGTATAAAAAAATATTTAAAACAAAAAGTACCTTTTTAAAAAGGATGCTCGGCCGAAGTTAACTGGTTAACATGCAAAATTTTGTTATTTCTAAGTTTTCAAGCTAGCAATGCGTGGCGTAACAGTGACATAATAGTTATTTCTAAATACTCATTTTTTAAACATAATCATGCAAATTTATATTGATGATTTTTCAAAGCAGGACAACTGAACTTCTATTTTAGGTGTCCCTTTACGCTTGACTTTATACATCATTTACAAATTAACCAAACAATTAAGAACTAACCGCATTCCTGTACATTTTATTTTGAAACTATCGTTTACATTTTATTTTTATAGTGGCCAAATTATCCCTAGAGCTACCCATAAATTTTATTGTACCCTCTAAGTCCTACACTTATTGAAAGATTTTCTTCAAACTTGGCTCAAATGTTTACCTCTACAAGGGGATGTGCTGTACCCATATTGTCCATGTGTCAACTCAAGGTCAATGTCACAATTGAAGGTCAATTATCAAACAATCAAATATAAGACAGTATGTCGTGTTCGTTCTGTAAGTCCTACACTCATTGAAAGATTTTCTTCAATTTTGGCTCAAATGTTCACGACAACAAGGTAATGTGCAGAACCCATGTTGGCCTTTGAGGTCAAGGTCACACTTGAAGGTAAAATATTGACTTAGAAAATATTCTTAATTTTAATATTTCTGAAACTAGAAAAGATACTTGCTTGTAACTTGAAATATATATGAAGTGTCACAATTAAGATATGCAGGTCATGTTTCATAAACCTGTGTTGCATTTTGACAAAGTTATGTCCCTTTTTAAGTCTTCAAATTTACAAACAATCAAACAAAAGACAATATGTCGTGTTTGCCCTAAAAATTCTATACTAATAAAAGAATTTTCTTCATATTTTACTCAAATGTTTACCTCAACAAGGTTATGTGCAGAACCCATGTTACCTTTGTGCCGGCATAAGGTCAAGGTCACACTTGAAGGTCAAATATTGACTTAGAAAATGTTCTTAAATTTTAACATGTACTTGAATATTTCTGAAACTAGCACAGGTATTTGCTTGAAACTTGAGAGATATATGAGGTGTCACAAGTAAGATATGCAGGTCAAGTTTTATCAATCTGTAGTGCATTTTGACAAAGTTATATAATTATGCCACTTTTTAAGTCTTTAAATTTACATACAATCAATGCTAGACAATATGTCATGTCCGCTCTATAAATTTTATGCTAATAGAAGGATTTTCTTCAAATTTGACTCAAATGTTCACCCAACTGGGCAATGTGCAGAACCCATCTTACCCTTGTGCCAGCTTAAGGTCAAGGCCACACTTGAAGGTCAAAAATTGACTTAGAAAATGTTCTGAAATTTTAACATGTACTTGAATATTTCTAAAACTAGAACAGATAATCATTTGAAACTTCAAACATATACGAAGTGTTGCAAGTAAGTGATGCAGGTCAAGTTTCATTACTAAAAAAAGTGGGGGATAACTTTGTATTGTATTTTGACAAAGTTAAGTCCATTTTATGTCTTTTTATTTATTTACTATTAAGTTTTTAAACCAAAAACAGATATTTACTTGAAACTTAAAATTTATATGAATGGTTACAAGCAAGTTCTCAATACTAAAATTCTATAATTCCATTGAATTATGACACAAGTTATGCCCCTTTTAGGCTTAGAAAATGTTCTGATATAACCTTTAATACTTAAATGATTCTGAAACTAGAATATTCTGAACTTGAAACTATATAATAAATGAAGGGTCACAAGTAAGCTCAGTATGCAAAGTTTTTCCCTTTTTTTCTTAATTACATTTTGACATATTTATGCTACTTTCTTAATTTCACTGCTTTCGTTTGTTTTAGTACATTGGGAAAATGAAAGGTTACTTGTAACTGTTTCGAACATGATTTGACAATATATATTTATACTATTACCTGTACAATTTGTCTTTTTTCACCAGAGATTATTTCGTTTTATGTATATGTATTTGTGCTACTAAAGTTATTCCCTTAACCACCTTTCCAAGTCGTCCTCTGTCAACATTGGTGGGGGTATGAATCGCATTCAGCGATAGTTCTAGTTTTAGAATTGTACGGACTATCCTCTACATTTTACTTTAGAATGGTTATTACTATCCTTTACATTTTATGTAAGAATTACCAATTAGATTCACCGATTTCAGTTTGTAATTCTAAAATGACCAATGAAAAGAATTTTCATATTCAGTCCTTCCTTGTTTATTTTACAGAAAGTCAAACTGATAACAGACGGACTTTGTCCGGAAAAAATGTCTTTGGAAATGGGAATTTTCTCAGAATCACTTAGTATATAAAACGCAAAGTATGTGTTGTGCCTAAAAATTATCGTTTGTTTCCCCTTCCGCTTTTACAAATCAATTACTGCTACAGGAAAATGAATCATTGTCAAACAGTATTATTTTATCAATGAACATGAAAGGCGAGTCTCTTAATGGGAATCACTTCTCTCTATGTGTTTCATGTTGTTTTGTTTTGGTTTTATTTATTTCATTGATTCTATACAAACAGGGATGTCAGTTGAATAACGAAAATGGTATCAGCTGTAGAATAATGCACTGTTCTAGTTCAAACGACAGACATTTAATCACAAAGGCCGATCGGTCCGAGTTATTACAAAGGATTTGAACGATAAACCGTGCATTTATATACTACAACAAGGAAAGCTGATATCTATTTCTATTCTTAAATGGAAAGTTATGCGACGGAGTAGTATTTCTTTTTTATTTCTTGTTATAATGTATTCGACAGTCTGAAAGTAGCGGGATTTGCGTAGCTGTCAAGATAAAACTTTGGTACATTGACTCTACGCAGTAAACATAAACAAAGCATCCCAAAACTTTTTTTATCCATAAACACAAATATGTTATTTAAAGAAATGCCTACCTAGCCTACCGAAACTGGCATCGGGCGCGGGAGGAGGGGTTTATATTTTAGAGTTAATTATAGTCAGAGTGTGTAGAAAGCTATAAGATTAAACACTTTCTAAAAACCACCTATTATTAGGCAATGAGTGTAAAATGTCTTGCTCAAAAACATCGACTTGCACCTTATTTGATTTGAACTCATGTGGCTAGCCACCCTTAGATTATAACCTCGCCCTGTCCAAATATCTGAATTGATCTAGTTCAAATGGCCACATTTGATTTGTTTAGATGTGAACGTGAACTGACCAAGTCTTAAAAAGTTACATATCTTCAAATTCGGAATACAATACTCATCACGAATAATTGAGAAAAAAAATACAAATCATTAAAGTGGATTTCCATTTCATTTTTTTTTCAAATTTATACCGCAAATAAGCTCCATTTAAATCTTCCTACATGATTGGAAATATTTACTGATTTGTTCATAATTCCAATAAACTTACAGGGTAATTCCAGTCACCCCAGTCGTAGCATTTAGTTCCTATTTGTATATAGGTATGTCTTATTCCATACGGAATGCCCTTTTTTCTGCTGCTTGAACAGTCCTTGCTGATGCTTGAGGAAAACAGGGAACTCCATAAACTCAGTGGACAGGAGTAAAGGGTATAGGTCGTCGCCTCAGCAAAACCTGAAACAGTTTCAATGATAAACAATTTTTGGTTGTTTAAATCGTCCTATCTTTTGTGAGCACATCACATTGCAAAACTGCGGGAAACATTTCACGTTGATAAGATAGAAGTAGAAAATAAGTTGATGTAACTAACAAAAGCGACAAATTAACATCAAAATGCCTACATATAAAATATGTGTTGTTCTACATTACTTATTCAAACATTTGTCACAATAGATGGTTAATGCATGTTATCGTTTCATTAAATTCCAATGTTATAAACCTAAAGTTTCATATGTGGCTCCATCACATTGAGAAGAAGTGCAATAATACAAAGAAGCTGTAATTCTTTTTTCTGAGTTATCTCCTTGTATTTATATTTGAGCCGCGTCATGACAAAAGCAAATAATGGGTTTGCGACCAGCATGGATCCAGACCAGCCTGCGCATCCGCGCAGTCTGATCAGGATCCATGCTGTTCGCTATCAGTTTCTCTACTTGTAATAGGGTTTGTAAGCGGACAGCATGGATCCTGATCAGACTGCGCGGATGCGCCCATGCTGGTCGCAAACGCACTATGTTGGTTTTGTCATGACGCGGCTCATTTATTTTCGTGTGGATCACAATTCTAAATCTATTTTAACTATAGACATTAAATACCAAATGTGGTAAGGTTTAATTAAGAAGAAGAGCAGTGAAAGGATTTGTAATTCTGATTTCCGAGTTATTTTCTCCTTTATATTTTTTCATATTTCATTTTTGTTTAGACCATAACGCTTTAAGTATTTGAGGTATTTATGGCAACAATAAACGAAAATACAAAATGTAATTGCCTTTTAAATGTGATACAATGCAAAGGAACTGCACCTTTTTACGTTAGAAGTTTTAGTTTATTGTCCCTTCTTAATATAATAAAGAAAAATACCATTCTGGACGCCATATCTTTTAAGTGCTTGGTTGGATTATAGTGAAACTTAGCATGAAATCAAATGACATTAAATAATTTACAAAACCTGGTCTTGTGGTAAAAAAATCTTTTTAGCTCTTTCTTTATGTTAAGAGTTTCCATTGGTGAATGTAAATTGACCAATCTAATGTTTAGAGTCCGAGTTTGGGATTAGAAATATATTTCATGACCTCCTTTCCTCATTATGCATTTTCAGGTCTGACCCTAAGTAATTCGAAAATTGTAGAAAGTAGGATATATCGATTTTGTCAAAGAGAATAATCTTAACTGCTTATGTGCGTGATTTAATATGTCATTGCCTTGTATTTGAGAAAGAAATTGATTTGCATCGAATTTAAACGAAATCCATTGCTGTGTCATTGAGTTATATCCCTTTATAATTTAGAGAAAGCCTTTGTTAGATTAATACATCACGCTTAGCTGCCGCTCCACATAAAAATTGTTTTTTTACGGAAAAACGAGCAGACGGCATTTCCGAGATAGAGCCCAAGGCCGATTTCATCGGTCAATTGAATGTGTTGATTATGTTTTTTAACTTGGAACTCATTTATTAAATAAGTTGTATTTTTTCGAAAAAATGTAAAATGTAGTTCCGTGTATGATTGTTAAAGGCTTTCGATGATATAAAATGTAACAAAAAGAAAATTATATTAAACCCGGAACAACCGTTTTTCTGACTAGATGAACGACGAGTTGTAGGATACTGAACTTCCATGCCATTTAAATGCTCTACCCTTCGAATATTTTTTTTTAAAAAGTGTATTAGAAAAATATCATCCCGTAATAAGTACTTGTCCATCGTGAAACATAAATTACTCCTGGTGGATTTATTAAAATTGTATATCGATATTTTTTGAAAGGGCATGGTTGGAGCGAAAGGTTCGATGTTGAGCGCAAGGCGATATTAATTTGGCGTATTAGGAGGAGCGTAGTCTATGAATTTCTCTAAATATAAGCTATATAAGTTAAAATAGACCTGATCAAATGCTGAGTTCGAGATGTATACATGTATATCTATATATACCTTAACAAGATAACTAATAAAGCATGATATCCTTTCAACGACTAAAGCGTAATAAATGTAATCGCAAAGGTGTCCCCTATGGCTGCCATAGTTTCCATATTTATGTTCAAAGTCTGGATGATGCTAATTGAATCATATGCATGGCGTACAGGATTTCACTTTTTTAGGTAAATAATGATTTTTGAAACGGCTATGTACATATAAAATTGTGTGTCCTTGCAATTCGACAAAATCGAATATTCTCAGTCTTCGCGAACAAATGTTTCTGAGCAGGTGCGTATAACGCGTTTGTTTTCTGCCAAAATTTTATATTTTTCTTGAAAAGCTAGATATTCAAGATGCAGAACAGAGAAAAAAAACATACCAAGCACGGGACACATTAAATGGATAACTATTACCATTTTAAAGCAGCATGCCTCTAGATTCATTATATTTTCTTGAAATTTTTGAAAATGTATTTAAAAGCATAATTTTGTGAAGTAACAAAATGTAGCAATCAACACATTATCAATGGCACTTGCAACCCAAGTAAGTTACCAAAAATAAGTTACAATTACCCTTACTGCCTTAGATACGCAGTATAAATGTTTTATAAATACTAAGAAATAAGTCATTAATAGCACAAAGAATGTTTATTATTACTTCCGCTCGATCTCGGAGGTGCCGTTCACTCGTTATTCCGTAAACTACAATTTTGAAGAGGAGCAACAATTTACCGGGTGTGTACATGGAGTAGCTTTAATAAAATAAACAATATTTTATACAGTTATATTCATTTCAAATTTACACTTTAGTTTGCCTCTAACTAATTTCTTATTAAATTTACTTTCAGTAAATAAATTTTTACGATTAATATTCATCATTTTCGCAGCGTTGTTGATTTTGACAAAGTCCCATTTTACAACAAATATCTGAAAGAACGAAATCATGCCTTTTCCAAAAGTTTGAAAATTACAGAACTTAATTTTTAAACTAATTTCTAATTATTTCCCTTCTTCATTATCAAACTGACGTTTAAATACAAGACAGGAGTCCGAGGTCCGTAATCGACAGCGAAAGTTGCATTAAGTGTCTTTACTGGTGGATAGACCCCCATTATACTTAGAATACATACAAACAAAGACACAACGGCCGCTTTGGTGTAGTAGTTACCATACTGAACCGGCAATCAAGAGACCCGAGTTTTGGCTGTGGCGTGCTAATTGTTAATGACGAGTGATTTTTCTGCGTGCGTTCGTGCGAGCGCGTGTGTGTTGCAACACATGTTAATTTTTTTTAATAAAAAATCTTAAGTTATCTTGTCAATAATTGATGACATGCAAATTTTACTCTTTCATAATGATAAAATATAGGATATCGAGTTTGCGGTTGAGGAATCGGTTTTCTTTTTGTAGTTTTATCCTAAATGCAAGATACCTTTATAGTAGCAGACGTAAGTACGTTGTAAAACACTTATTAAGAAGTAACGATTGACGTTTTCTAAAGAAACAAAAATAAGCAAATAGAAGCAGACCTCTCGGTAGTTCTTGCCGATAACTAATAATCATCTTAGAGGCAAAGTGTTAAACTTTCAATTTAACCATATTCAGAAATCGTAACATATACCCCCAACAAACTACAGCAATACAAAAATAAAATAATGAACTTACCCGTTTCTCTTGCTGGGAAAACCAGTAGAATCAATGAAAAGTCTACAATACAAAACATACGTGAAGCATAATTTTATTAAAAAAGGCTGTTTTTATGTAAATACAGCGGTTTATATAAATAAAAACAGCATTTTATATTAACCTTTTTAATTTACATATTTAGGATTCCCTGCTTGGTATTTCAATGCGAGATCTATTAATTGCAAATCATTATCATGACAAAGAAAAAAATCTAAGGCAGTTGCATTATTTATCATTAGAATTGTCATTAACTTTTACTAAATAGAAATTATATACAATGGTTCATGCTCTATCTTAATCACCACATTGTACTCACAAAGAAACCACGTTTTCATGTTTCACTTCTTATGATTCGCAAATATACAAATGCTGACCAAAAGAGTAATCGCTCTGGAAAATAAGTGTGTGATCATTACCAACTTTACTTTAGATTATTGTGTTGTTTTAGCTCATGACGAAAATAAATGTTTATTGAAAAATAGTTTTGGTTAAAATTTTGAATTGAGTTGATCCTCTATAAATGTGCTAATTTTAAGTTTCTGATTGATGTATTAAAGACGCATTATGCCTGTATAAGAATAGTCAATAAATGGTCAAGGGTTTAGTAGAATACAAAATAACTTTATATTTTCTCATATTTTTTTTTCAATTTTACGATATACGCCACCTGAATATTCAAAAACCTACATATATAAAAAATATCCTTCGGAAATAATTTGTAACATTCAATTTATAAAAATATATATATATTACCCTAAACATTTATCATTATCAATTTTTGTTTCAACGCCATTATAAAAGTCAATTCAAAAAAATTATAACTTATTCATGTCAGATTGACAGAAAAAAATGCACAATGACAATATATCGCTTCTATTTACCAAAATGAAATGTGTGATCTTATTTCATGGTAATACTTAAGAAAAAATATTTTCTAAAATAATATTTTGTATCATACATTGAAATAAAAGGACATAAAATTGCACACAAAAAATGCAGAATTTAAGAAAAATATGATGTACTTACAAGTTCGTAGCCTCTTGTTTTCAAGTCACTATTTCATTATCGTAGTTAAATTTTCCAAATATATAGATTTTTCCTTTGTAAGGAATCCGAGGCCAAAAGAGTTTCATGTTTGTTGTTTGTGCACTTTTCTTTATCTTTATACCTTCATAACAGGATATATACGTTTCAAGAAGATGTTCAAAACAAGATTAACGAGACTTTAAATAAAGGAAATACGTTATAAATGATGATAAAGATAAAATATGTGTAAAAATTATTGCAACAAATTTTCAACGAATTTAAAATATTGAACTGTTCTATATCTGATTTGTATTCGGAAATGATTGTCTGTTTTTTACAAAGCCTTTTAACATAAAACAAAAACATATTCATACTATAGCTTACAATGTGAATACATTCTTAATTATTTTATATAGTTATTCATTTTGCCAATTATGAGTTATCTTCTGCTTATTTAGAGTTTTAGCATAATCATCATTTTTCGGCACATCGCTTGTGACAGTCGCTAACGTTTCTTCTATGTCTTCATTTATAACATATGTCAAATCAAAAGCCGTCCAAATTTCATTTCGAAGAGCTAAGCCAAGCCGCTTTCACGCTTATTTTAAATTGACTAAACTTTACTTTAATTCAGATCATACCTAAGTATTTCAGTGAAAGTCAATCCAAAATTAGAACAAATTACATGTGTTAAAGTGTTTTAAGACAAAAGACGATGTGAAGTTTGAGAAAAAATTCTCGTGTTATTATTGCTCTCATGGATTCTATGTAAGAAAATAATTGGGGATATATTTGCAGCATTGCTGCTTATCCTAATGACTGATGTGAGCACATAATTGTTGTAAATTTATAACGTTTGACCGAATAAAGTGTCAGTATCTAATGTAATTGAATTTCTTTAATTCTAATAGTCCTGACGTTATTAAAGTATAAGATAATCTACAGGTATCAGTTGTTTAAATACCATGGAAACAATTTTATATTTAATGCCGTTTATGCTACTTCGTGACACGTGAATTTCTTTTCTTTTTGTTTCATTATTCTCACGCAATAAAGTAGAGTTTCGTACGTGCAACTATTTATTTTTGCACACTGATGTTAACGTCGATATGATTTGTTTTGTTAATAAAACAAATCTAAATGGGAGAAAATCTATTTTAGTTGCTATGACCATAGAAATTTGAATGTAGCCAAGATCTATATGATAGCTTGTTACCTTACCTTAACCTAATGTCTTCATCACACGAAAACTGATTGGTGTAAGATTGCAATATGGTATGTTTCCTTTTATACTTGTAAAACATCAAACAATCATGCCTTTAAAATAATAATTTTCCTTTGTTTAAGACTGTATTTGAAATGCACATAATGGATAACGCAAACAATATTTTTGTAAACTTGTTCGCCTCTTATCATCAGTGAAATATACTGGGTGTATCAAAAATAAACTAAACTAAAATAAACACGCCACAATATAACATTACTGATAAAGTTCATTTGAATAAGATGATATTGTCTTCTTTACAAATTAGAATTTGTTGAAAATGATTTTTAAATTTTCAAAACTTCCTCTTTGAACATGTTTTCAAATCGCGCTAATTAAATCAAATGCAGATATTACAGTCATACTGTGAAAGAGTGTAAAGACTTGTCTTATGAATTGTCTCTATAACTAATAAAATAACAGCCATACATTATATTGTGACTGTTTTATAAAATCATTAGTGGTTGAAATAATGTCACATGTTTTTGTCAAATGCGCCTGCAACATCTCCATTTTTATTTGATTTTATAACATTAAGACAGCATCGTTTGATTTTACATTTAACGTTATCCCCGCTCTTAAGATATTTTAAAAGCAAAACTACCATGCAAGACAATAACATAGCTTAATGTAAAATAACGAATAAAAAAGGGGAACAGTTCACAAAAGAAATTTTGATTTTTTATTTCTTTATTTTTTTTCAATTTCATTCATCATTGATAGTTGTTATGTTGTTGTTTTTTTTGTTGGTTTTTTTGTTGTTTTTGTTGTTGTTTTTGGGGCTTTTTTTGCATCTTTAGTGTGAATGTTTTATGACGTTTACTTCTTAAAAACTCAGGGCATTTTATGCTTAAAAAAGAGCATTTTTAATATTCAGCTGCTCCTTTAGGAGCTACTTTACGCCGTATCCGTATACATGTATTTGGTTTTGTAAAAATAATAGTCATACAGCAAGATTAGATAGTGTGGTTTGAAGAATGTATACTATTAACGATGAATATCTTTTTACTCAGCCATGTTTAATAACCTCATCATATTAAATATACAGTTACATCGTCGTCAACTTTTATCAGAATATGTATTTATGAGCCGCGTCACGACAAAACCAACATAATTGGTTTGCGACCAGCATGGATCCAGACCAGCCTGCGCATCCGTGCAGTCAGTCTGATCAGGAGCCATGCTGTTCGCTATCAGTTTCCCAACTTGTAATAGAGTTGGTAAGCGAACAGCATGGATCCTGATCAGACTGCGCGGATGCGCAGGCTGGTCTGGATCCATGCTGGTCGCAAACCCATTATGTTGGTTTTGTCGTGACGTGGCTCATATTATAAGTTGTACTGAAACAAGCATGAAAGTAAATGATAAATAATATGAAAGATAAGCTTGAAAAGGTTGATTAAAATAATAATTATTATTATTAATCATTGATAATAAATCGTTCTATTATATTCATTGATTAATTTTTAATGAATTAACATATTGTTTTATATTTAGTCTGAATGAATTTTACCTAATAACAAACAATGTTATCTAAAGTTATCAAAGTATAAGCAAATTTGAAAGTTATTATAAATGAATTATCTTTCGAATTTAAAACTAAATCAGTTAGCTTTTTACATCATGTGTTCGATTAGATGTTCAAATATTTATGTCGTTTATTGAAAAATATGAATTTTGATAATTAGTCAGTAAAGTTATCATAGTAACCAGAAATAAAATCAAGTTTAAAAACAGAATGTCAAATAAACTGAACCGGAGAGACTCCTTATGAAGTATTTCAAAAAGTGTAACCTGAGCATAATTGATAAAGTTAATTGAATATTCAAATGACAGGAAAAAAATCGTTTTTGCAAATTTTAGCCATTTTAGATATATTTATTTTAACCAACATTTACCATAGCAAGTGAAGCTATCATAAAAACATTAATTTTTACAATGTTATGTCAAAAACAAGTAGTAAAAAGCGTAAAAATCTGGAAACAAAGTGATCCCTCGGAAGCATTAATCACAACAAAATTACAAGAAAATTGCAGACTCGGTTTGATTGAGTCTGTACATGAGGGATAATGAATACGTGCAACATCCCTCACGCCCCCTAGCACTGGCTTGAGCGGTACTCAATTCTCAACACTTTATAGTGCTGGCATCTATGATCCCGAAGGACCAGAAAAATATAACAACACTGAATTGAAGTACGGGGCAACTTTTTACAGCTGCCACACAGCACTTGACACCTGCTGTTGTGAAGTATAAAAATCTAGAAACAAAGTGATCCCTCGGAAGCATTAATCAGAACAAAATTGCAAGCGATAGGCAGACTCGTTTTGATTGAGTCTGTACATGAGGGATAATGAATACGTGCAACATACCTATCGCCCCCTAGTACTGGCTTGAGTGGTACTCAATTCTCAACACTTAAAGCAACTTTTAGAATAAATTTCAATAAAATAGGACAAAAAATCCATGTTTCTAATTATTTTCACACGTAACCATAGATAAAAGAAACTTTGACATAATTCAAAGTTCATGTTTTATCGGTCACAATATTCACGAATATTCAGACAAAAACTAAAAATACGATACTTAAAATACGCTTTGCAGTGAATATGAGTAGTCAAGCAGACCCGTTAAATCCATTGAAAGGATTCTGCCGGGGTCCGAAAGCCTAAAAACATAAATTTGAAAAATCATACATCGATGTGCTTGTTACGGTGGCACGAAGATGACAATTGCGCGTTTCTATTTATCTCGTGCGCACGAGATACTATGTCGTGGCCCCAAGATACTAAGTCGTGGCCACAAGATAACTAAGTGGTGCACACGAGATACAATGTCGTGGCCACGAGTTACTTAGTCGTGGTCACGAGATTTTTTTGTTTGTTTTGTTTTGGGTTTTACGTCACATCGACACAGGACACAGTATAGGTCATATCGCGACGCTCCAGCTTTACTGGTGGAGGAAGACCTCAGGTGCCCTTCCGTGCATTATTTCAGGCACGAACGGGCACCTGAGTAGAACCACCGACGTTCCGTAAGCTAGCTGGATAGCTTCCTCACATGAAAGAATCCAAAGTCCCTGTCGGGACTCGAACCCACAGCGGTGAGGGGCAAGTGGTTTGATGGTCACGAGATAATAAGTGGTGCGTTCGAAAAACTATGTCGTGGCCACGAGTTACTAAGTCGTGGCCACGAGATACTTAAGTGATGCGCACGAGAGACTATTTTTTTTAAGTTTCTAGGTCTGATTGGTTTAAATCTCGTGCGCACGACTTAAATACCTCGTTCCCACGACTAAGTAACTCGTGACCACGACATACATGTATCTCGTACGCCCCATTTAATTGTGTCGTGGCCACGAGTTACTAAGACGTGGCCACGACATAGTATCTCGTGCGCACCACTTAAGTATCTCGTGGCCTCGACTTAGTAACTCATGGCAACGACATAGTAGCTCGTGCGCACCACTTAAGTATCTTGTATCCACGATTTAGAAACTCGTGGCCACAACATGGTATCTTGTCCGCACGAGATTAATTAAAACACACACATGTCACCTCTGTGCCACTGTAGCATTGGACTGAAGATTGATAGCTAGGCATGTCAACAAAACATCAGTGCAGCCCTTTTACTTGGATTTTTAAAAGATGATGAGGGTCAAACGGAAATTTAAACAAATGTAACTGGATTGCATTGTTCATTTTAGAATAATATAACCTGAAAACTTGACTACTTCAAATTCCTTCATTCTTACTTTGTAAAACATAAACAATACAAATTTACTATTGGCATGCTATTAACATTTACTTTAAATTTAATGCCAATTGAAAATATG